GTTACCCCAAGCCGTCGTTAGGTGTTTCACCCAGGCGACTTACCCCTACTGTTCCAGAGCCAGAGTTCATCCTCGAGAACCAATCAAATAGTGCTTACGAGCTTTGCTTAAAGTACGACTTCAACACCCATTAGGCGCCCACCAGGCGGCCTTGTTGTGCTGCGCCTTCCCCCAGGCTTCCGTGTTTGGTTGGTGGTTACTTATTGCTTCTGCCGTTCTATTGCAGAATGTAGGATTGTAACACAGGCTTGTGGCTTTGTTTTGGTGGCATGGTAAGTGTGAAGGTAAGTAAAGGTGCAAAAAAGTAAGCTATTGGCCCAGGCAGTTAAGCTGTAGTAGAGGATGTGTGTATGCATTGACGCACCAGGCACATGGAAAGTACACAATTGGCTAGTCAACATCATCAATTCATGCCAAGCATAAGCTGCAAGATGTTGTGCAGCTTGCAACAATAGAAATAGAGCAAAACTAATGATGGCAATTGATCCAACAGGGTGGATTTAACTATCCTATGTGTAGAATACATTTTTTACCACATGTGGTTATGGTTGAGGAATTTTTGGAAGTAATACCTAAGATGGCTGATATGTGAACATCACTCATGCCTCCAAATATTACTGGGCCAGCGGCTGCAACTGTAACGACGCAGGCCAGTAGGGAAGATGTCTGAAGTAAGTGTGAGTCCACTACGAGGCATATGGGAGTGCTGGGACGTTGAGAACACTAGGATTGAATTCCCTACACCTATAGGTCTTGTACAAAAGGATACAGAAAAACTACTCTATCTAACGACTGTGCCAAACTGATTAAGTACACAGTTCGGAGGGGAATCGGAACTACCCATGTCTAGGTGACACGGAAGTAGTTAGCGACAGGAAAGAGAGCGGTGTGCTGAGTCCCTGCGGGACCACACGTTATCGGAGCGCTTTTGGTCCAAGGCGTTACAGCAACACTGTAATATTACCCTATTTGGCTATTGTGTATATATTGTTATAACCTCAATTGTCTGCTATCCAAGAAAGAGGAGGATTGGCAAAGGTGGCAAGCGAGGCTTCCAAATCCTGTTTCCCATACCATTATGGGAGTAGGCTAAAGAAGTACTCACTTGCCATATGGGTGTTCTTTTTGCAAGGAGTTTGATCCTCTTAAAAAGCTGCCTTTTCTGCTCTATTAGCTATACTGACACCTATATAATTGTGGCATTGGGAGAGTTGTTGACACCTAAACACAATGAAAGTATTGCAACTCTGGAGTAACTCAGTACCACAGTGTGCTAGCCAATTCAAACAAACTTCAAAATTTTTGACAGTTTGAATCTCTTTTGATTGACTTGACTAATCAAATAGTAGCAGTGGACTCTTGCTTGGCTGATGTTGTCAAATCAAACAAACTCAAACAAAATTTTGACCCATTTTTGGTTGTTGACAACCTTGCGTGTATGGCATGTACAGGCGGCGTACAGTTTCTGAACATCAAGTACGGCAAGCTTGCTTTGAGCAGCAATGTGTCCTTCCATAAGACGCGCACGGAAGCGTTGATCGCAGACCTGGGAGCATTCGTCAACTGTACGTTGAGCTGGATGATGGCGACTACGCTCTCGGGGATAGTACTGGGGGAGGAGTCGGCTAGATAAAGCTTGATGTCAAAGACGGCGAGAGCCTGGAAAACCTTCACTATATCGTGATAGGAAGAGAGAAGAAAGATGACAACGAGTGGTATTTTGTGTTAGAAGTTGTGTGGAATGGCCTCGGAAACGAGTACATGAGGGTTGGAATTGGCGCAGTTGAGTGTCGCTGCGTCGTGAGAGTGCAGGACAACGTACAGGTCGTTTGAAAAACACGACAAAGGACTAGGCGGAAGCGACGTGCACACAAGGGCGCAAATACACGTCTGTCAGAATCTGTAATATCATCCAAATACATTATGAGTGAGCAATATCTCCAGACTGATGTTGCTACCTGGGTATTCCTGCTTGAGATTGGGCATCCGTGTGTGAGATGTTCTGCTCCGTGAGACCCGACACCACGTACGAGTCACGATCTGCGCCATTGTATACGACAGTCAGGGTGAGCCAAATATCTTCGAAATCGGAGGTCATGCATCTCGTGTCCGTTTCGCAGGGCGTCGCGCAAAAAGAAGCAACCGAAACTACGTTTCAATGAAAGGATATCATTGAAATACATTACATTAAGAAAGTAGCGTCGTCATATGTCTTCATCATCATCGTCATATACACCCCCCTCACATCGCTAGCCAATCTAGCAAGCATCGTTAGGGATCTTGAAGCTGTCCAGACGACCAGTAGCCTGGTACCTCGCACCCTCACCCAGACCACGCTTAGCAAACGCAGTCCAAATCTCGCAAGCATTAGCACCGCCAGTAAGCGCCCAGTCAGCATCAATGATAGCATCACGAGCCTGAACGAAGTTGGGGTTGCAAGGCTGGAGCGCCAGGCCGTCAAGAACAAGCTTCAGAGCGAGGTACTTGCCATCGGTAGGCACGCCGTTGTTGTCGAAGTCAGGTGTCCCGTTGTCGTTCTTGCCATGCTTGTCAATCAGGTTCCACAGGACTTCGTACAGCATGGAGGCCCAGATGTTGCCGATAGGGTGGACGCGCTGGTACAACTCGACGCTCTTGTAGGTCTGAGGGTTGGTCGTCATGCTGGTCGAGTAGAGGTAGTTGCGGATACCCTTCTCGTTGCCGTTGACCCAGGCGGCCATGCTGTAGTCCTTCTTGCGGGTGTCACCGGGCTTGAGGCGGATCGCAGTCGCGTAGAAGTCACTCCAGCCTTCGCCCATACCACCGGATTCGAGCAAGTTCAGACATCCGGAGTTCTTGGGGCCACCGGTCAGACGGTTGGACAAACCGTGGGTGTACTCGTGGATGACGACACCAGCTTCGAAGGAGCAGTCGCGTACGGGCTGGGTGTTAGTCCAGATGTACATCCTCATGCGGCCGGGCTGGCCATCGGGAGGAGTGGCAAAGTTGGCGTTGTTAGTGCCAGAGCCGTCCTGTGCGTTCAAGTAGACGAAGTCGTTTCCGATACCGCCGGCACCGTTGTTGTTGATTTCGAAGTTACCTGCGCGCTCGTCGAAGCCGAGCTGGTACAGCAGGTCGTGGAACTTGTTGGAAGTGTAGAATAGCTGAGTAACTGAGGCGTTGGCGTACTTCTTGTAGTCGGTCTCGTTCAGCGAGTATGGGTAGTGGAACTTGAGGTCACGAGCAACAGGGCGAGAGTTGTTTAAGAGAGCCTCGTAGGTAAGGTCGTTCTCCCAGTTGGTCTGAGCAACACCGTTGTTACCACGGGTTGTCTTGAACCAATCGGTGCCGTCCGAGTGCCAACCGAACTCGCTAGCGAAGGAGTCGAAAGGGTCCTCCTCGTAGACACGCGATCCCTCAGTAGGGTCGTTGATACCCCATGGGTAAACCTGGTAGCTGTCGTCCGCAGAGTAGTCGACGACAGCGTGAACGTCCTTTCCGGTGGTGGCATCGACGTAGGTTAGAAGCCAGTTGCTGACAATATCAGTTTCGACCCTCCAGGTCAGCTTGAGTTCGCCATTGGAGTCAATAAGGTAGACAAGCTTGGCCTCGGGTTCGTTCAAGCTTCCGCTAGTATTCTTGATGGCGTAAGTCTCCTTCTCGGCCTTGGGCTCAGCAGTGGCGGAGTCAGCTTCGACAGGAAGTCCGAGGGTGTTGACAGCAGCCTTGAGAGAGTCTGCTGGGTCGGTGGTAGCACGCTTGCCAAGCTTGGTGGTAGGCAGAGCAGGGATCTTGCCCTTAAAGAAAGAGTTACCAAAAGAGAAGACCTTGCCATTCTTGCCAACCTACTATGTGTTAGCTTTGCGTTCGAAGTTCTGAGACTTCATCAAACGTACGTTAACGTTGAAATCAGCGTTGTCAATGTCAAGACCGTTGGCAGTCTGCTTGAAGTAGAAGTGAGAAACACCGTTCTTGCCGGTGTAGTGGTCAGTGGACAAGCGGAACTCAGCATCCGGAGCTTGAGCAGCAACAAGCTCGGTAGCGGTCTCCTCGGCGGTAGCACGAGCCCTCAGTGTAGGGATTGTGGGGTCGGCATCGACCTCAGTAGCGTTCTTGTATTCGGTCTTAATGACCATGCGGAACTTGTCAAGGTCGATAGCACGACGCGAGAGCGAGTTCGAGCTGCGAGCGTGGGGGTGGGCAACACCCACGGCGGCCAAGGAGGCCAGAGTGGCGATGAGAGCGGAACGCATCTTGAGAACGAAGGGCTTGGAACGAGAGAAAAGTGAACGACTGGGTTGGACTGTTACCTGGTGAATGTGTGCTTACTACTTATACAACTTCATCCTGCCTCCACACGAGCTCAGGCTGACCACAATTCCGGAGATTGGCCCCTGTATTTCTCGAGTGTAGAGAAAGAGATAGCAATGTGGTAGCGTGATATCGCAAGCTACTTCACGTTGCAGCTTACGGTCTCACGGACTGCCGTTACTGGACTCCACGGCGTCGTAGTCCTTCACGAGGTAGTCGCGAGCTTGGCAACTGGTTGAAATAGGAAGCTGCATCGTTCTGGAGATTCTGAACCCATGCCCATCCCATGTTCATACTGTCTAGGCACTACAAGTGATCTACGTTTGCCAAGAGATAGAATGTTGACCTTCCGTATGAGGCTGAGCGCAGAGTGAAATCCTATTCGGGAGGTTGTCGAGCGACAGGGGAGATTAGACGGCATCGGCAGCCTTGAAACCCTGATGACATGGGCGTCCCTGAGATGTCACCGCTGAGAAGCGCGCTGGTGTAGATTTGTATCTTGTACGAACCACTGAGAACTAAACATCTGTATTTCTGCGATTACACTGGCGCGTGGATAAGCACCGCGACATCCAAAGAAAGCTGAGATCACGTTACTCAGGGACGCGGTGATAAGCACCGAGGTTACAGCCACTGCAGGTACCCGGGCATACGAGCTGCAAGCTGCAGGGCGAAGCATGAGCATACGTCGTGAGCGCAAATACATCTCGCCATCATAGACGCACCATAGACCGTAGTTCTCGACAGTATGGCTGGGCACTCCGTTCACCTGCCCCTCTGGTGCTAGTGCGGATTCGCGATCCGCCCCGAGGCAACGTAATCGCGAGCTACGCGGGCGCAAAACAACGGCGCTTAGGTGAGCAAATTGAGATGCGACATGCAAAAACTCTGGGGATTGTGGATGGACGCCTTGAGGTGTGGTTGGAAGAATGTTGCGCCGTTGGATCGAGCGATTGAGCGCGGAAAGCCTGCCAAGAGACACTAGTGATGGGCCCCTGATCCTACGGATTGGCATCGAGACTTCGATTGAACAAGCTTCATTAACTCGCATGCTGCGAAATTAATCTACACCCTTGTAGAGCTGTACCCGGCCTGCGGAAACCCGAAGTTCCGTATCGTTCTATCTTTTTTGGCCTCCCTCGCACTTGAAGACGACCCTCCAAGTTTGCTCCGTCACGCTAGGCCGGCTCATCGTCCTGGTACCGAGAAGATTGTGGTGTATTGACTGAGACAGTGTGAACACTTGCGCCATCTCCGAGCACCCCGTGAGAACAGATTCACTGCGTCCAGCGGCTGGATGTACGGCACTCAGTCTCGACACTAGAGCGCTGAAGAGAAAGAGCCGGAGTGTTCAATACAGTCAGCTGCAACCGATATCTCCACACAGCTGTGGCTAAAGTATCCGATGACATGCGTGCCGTCCCGCCTGATGAAGCCTCCCAAGGCTTAGCAAGAGCATGTGGCGACGATGCGGCACAGTGAGAGATGGTGGCCCTGGGCTCTGTTGCAACCACCTTCCTGAAAGACTTGGAGGCGCCTGACCATGTCATTGCCGTCCATCGAGAGCTGTTGCAAGCGGTGGTGCCAACTATCTTTCGACTGCATCCGTCCCATTCTGCTATCCCTAACCCAAGATAGCTCTCGTTCGAGCGTTTGCTCGACCTCGATATCACCTTCCCAATCCACATCGCTTCAAGAGGTAGGCTTCGATCATCGGCTATGCGCGGCACGGCCATTACACTCCGATCATTCGAAGTAGGTTCACACGCCGCCTGACCACTTTGGCGATGTCGATTTCGCACTTCTCTCGCCATCGGACGGAGTCGATGACTTTGCAAACCTGCTCGTGCTAGTCCATGCTGGCGACATACAGCTGTTCATGTTTCTATTGTAGAATGTAACAGCAGTCTTCGCTTTCATTCGTTTCGTCTTCGGATGGAACGCGGATGTTTTGTGTGTGCTGTCCAGCAGTACGACGGACGACTTTGGAGTCTGCGGCCACCAACTTGATGCGGTACATGGGCCAAAGGTATTATCCACTTCTGCGTAAGTGGGCCACCATCCAGATGTTGAGCAGAGGTTTCGACCAGATTTAAAGAGGATGTCGGCTGGGCCAGGCGGTGTAGAGGTTGCATCTTCAGAACTCTCAACCTCCTCGACACTTGCAGACCTAGACAATATATCTGTATCGTTTGCAGAGTCCTCAACCCCATGCAAACTCAGGCTTGAGGAACTATTGTCGACCATCCGAAGTCCAGGACGATGTGAGATTGCTCTGCTACCAGCAAGGGAGAAATCGTTCTGGTAGTTGCCGCTCGGCTTCTCATAGTCAAGCTTGATGACCATGTCTCCGTCTTCAGCTTCGAAGCGTACTCTTGTAGGTAGCCAGTCTGGGATCTTCTCACCAGCCATGGAGTCTAAGGCTTCGTATAGCGATTTCTCGTCCACTGTGCTAACATCCCACTGCTCATGGATGCGATTGCATTCATCTACCAGCCATGTCGTCATCCGCACAGCTCGATTCAGGTCGATGGATGTTTGTTGATGTGTCTCGACATCGAATGTAAGGTCGGATCCGAAGAGTGTGGTCATGTGTCGGATGGTACGATGCCACGGTCCGATAGATATTTGGAGCGGGGTGTGAAGTCGCAGAGGAACGAGCGGAAGTCTTTGAGAAACAGACTCGGCCCAAGAGAGTGATTCTGCAAGACGTATGCCAGCATCGCTATCAAATTGACGCACAAGTTCTGGCTCTGGAAGGAGCGACAAGGACGTCTCAGTAGCGAAATAGCGTTGTAGTGTATCGGTCAGCCCACAAAGTACGTTCTGCAGCATCCAATATCGAGTGCAAAGGATCATGCTTTGAACAGAGTCGAAATGTAACGTTTCGGTAAGTATGTCAGCCATGTCTAAAGATGGTGGTGCGCTGATCGTCGTGACGGCGGTCTGCATGAGTTCGGCAACGTGTGCAGATAGATCGATCTGCCACATGGACTCCGTCAAAGTGACTGCGGCTGCAAGAGACTCGCTGTCATCCGGGTGCATGATGGCATGCCGAACCAGACAGTTCAGTCGCGGGCACTGCACGAAGACATGCATGATAGACATGGAAGCTCGTTGAGCTGGGGTAAGGTGTACAAAGTCCGGAGCTAAAGCTGGCGGATAAGTCACCGACAGATAGTAGTCGTTGTCGTAAACTGATGCTCTTCCAGCAAGCATTGCTTCGTTAACCTAGGAGTGTTAAATGAAGAGACGACGCCATGCAAGGAAACTTACATCGTCGATATAAGTATTGTCGATCAGGTTCCAATAGTGTTCGTCATCAATGTTTGCGACACCTCCGGCTTTGAGTAGCTCGGCAAGTCCGAAAGCATGGATTGCATGATACATCGTGTCTACGCCTAAAAGTGTCTATAGATGGTCAGCAGGTGATCTGAAACGTTCTTCATGATTGCCTCACCTCAGCAGCATAGTGCATCTTGGTCGCCAGAACCATTTCGTATGTGTTACGAGTCTGACTTTGGAACACAGCCAATTGCAGCTCTCTTAAGGCCTTCGATTTCGTGGCGCTAGCAATCTGTCGCTTCGAGTAGCTATCATCCCAGTAGACGGCATGACTGTCAATGAGAAATTCGACAGCAAGATCGAGCATCAAGTTTGAGCCAACTCGTGACGGTATGGACTGAATCCAAGTCCCCAGTATAGACAAAGGCCTGCTGTTTTCAGGAGCCGAGCCGAGCATGTCGACCCATCTTGCTACCAGTGTGCTCTCAGCAGAAGATGGTCTGATCAAAGCTAGTGAAGCCTCCAGCTGTAGATGTCGCAGATAGGCATCCAGGGTCTTTCTTCTGTGCACTGCGGCTTTCTCTGACCGGCGGTTCTTGGCCACGGACACTGGGGCTAGAGTCTGAAATGTGCCTCTGCCAAACTCAGCTTTTCTTTGGGTGCTTACTCTCAACTCTAAAGGTGTAGAACTAAAAGAGCTGCTGGTGCCTTCGGATGATTCCAGTGTGTACACAACAGGTGCAACTTTTGATTTGCCATGTTTTGTCAATTGGTTCGGATCCTGCACCACGAAGGCGGATGCCTTGCCGTAGGTGTATGTACACGGTCGATCCTTTTTGCAACAAGCGCCACACTTTGGCTTCTCCTCGTCGCACTGAGATCATCAGCGACTTCTAGCATGATAACGAAGATGTCTGTCCATGCAAGCGATCTGCGATGGCCAGGCGCACACGCGGAAGGAAAGGAGCGGGAAGCTTACCTTGACCTTGCGTTGCCTGCAGGTGTCGCACTTGCCCGTCTGTGTCATGATGCTGATAGTAAGGCTTGCATCTCTTTCAAGCAGCCGAGCACCAAAGTAGCGAAGGCGTTGATGCCACGAGTTGTGAGATGCTCGAAGCTGAGTCTGGTGTTGCAAGCCGAAGATGGTGCGAGTTGCGAAGATCGACAGCACTAGATCCGAACGGGTTAGAACGAGCTTAGCATGGAAAGGGTGTTCCACTTACACTTGCATGTACTCATCAAGCCGGAAAAATAGATTTGTGGTGCATTACTCATAGATCTCCAGAACATCACCTTCCAGCCAGAATATCCGTAGCAATCTTCTCAGCCAATGCAAATACAGTCGCCTGCGGATGCCCTGGAGGCAAAAATGGGAACGCACTCGCATCCACAACCCTCAGACTATTCACCCCAATAACCCTAGCCTTGTAGTCGACAACCGCCATCTGTCGGGAAGCATGGACAGTGCGCATATGGGAAGAATTGACGGATTGAACTGAGGTTGTATTGGGTGAAGCTACGGACAGTATGTAATGTGAGTAGCTGTAAACAACGCTAGTGTGACGTGGCAGTCACTCTCATGGCAGGTGAGGTTCGACAGGCAGGAGCAGCCTGAACCGTGACACTATCTCATCATCGGCCCTGCCCATCTTACACGTACAGCTCGCATGCCAAGTGAGCCCAACGTTCATCTGTAAGTACACCAAAATCTCCTCGTTTGTCGATTCAACAGGCAATCCTGGCCTGAAAGGAGTTCTTCGCCGATGAGGATCGGTGCAGTAGCAGAGGGGTTGAAGGACTCGCGGCCGCGCTTGATTATGCAATGATGACTTCTTGATCCGTGTGATGCGTCAACCAGTTTAGTGAGATGATAGGAGGGTCGGTCATGCTAGCGCTCGAGATGGTCACGTTGCCGCGAGACAGGGGCGTGAGGAGCACAGGCTGAAAACATCCGACGCCGATCGGGTGCTCTGGTGTAGAGAAGGGCGGCGTGCCGAATGGAGCAGACGAGATATCGTACTCGACTTCTGGTCAGTCTGAAGAGAACGTTAATAGGTCGCTGGAGGTTGTGTTGCTAAAGTTTCCTCGCGAAGCAGCGGGGAGCTTCTCCCAACCTAGGTAGTCTGACTGATCGTTTGTCAATATGCCGGCCTGATTTATGGCGTATTCAAGCTTGGCTTTGGCGGCGATGGTGTAATTCATGAGGCGTCCATAGCTTTCGATTGAGACTTGGTGGCCAATGCTGAGGACGACGTGGTCCCACATGTTCTGGCCAACACAAGGTCGATCTGCTACAATGGGGATATTGTGATTCTGTAGAATTTCCGCAGGCCCAACACCAGAGACTATGAGAAGCTGAGGCAATTGAAAAGCGCCTGCAGACACGATCACTTCCTTGCTGCCTGTAAGGATGTAAGATGGAGCCGCAGCTGGCCCAATCTGTACCGAAACCCTGTATGTGGTCTTGTTGTCATCGAAGAGTATCTTCTGCCCCAAGGTATGCGTGTAGACTTTGAGGGTTGTTGTCGCAGTACAGTAAGAGGTCATGTTACAGCACTGTATGAGGTTGTGTAAAAGGACCGACTGGACCAGACTCCTTCAAACAGTATCAGTAACATAACAGCTTCACGGTCAGTTCTTCTTTCCGTTCATTCACAGTATATAACCACACGGCTTGAGTACAATACAACTTCAGTGAACCTCAATATCCATTGCCCAATACCGATTATCTTCAGTACCGTCACAGTTGTCTTGTTCACACCACTCCCCTCGAACGCTGTATTGAGGAATGATGTCTGTGATGAGCTGCGGGACTGATCCTTCGGGTTGAGCGTAAGAGGACTGTACTGTGAGTCAATAAGCTTGCCGCTGATCAGATCATGTACGTCTACCACGCCAAGTTCATGGAAGGCTAGTTGAGCCCTTGAAGATAGTGGTGTAGCAAAGTTCGGGAAGGAAACCTCGAGAGGGTTGCCGGACTGATTTGCGGAATCGATATAGGGCACTGTAGAATTGAACGCTCTTATGCACATGCTAGGGTTGCTGTAGTCGATGGAGCTTTCGTAATATGGGAGAAACTCGTCCCAGGCATAGCTTGTGTCATTGACAGCGTCTGTCCACGCTTGCAGACCGCCAACTGTAGGTCGGTTGTAGTTCATGGCATCCTCAGCCGAACTGGATGTAGCCATTGCCTCAATGCTTGCGGTTTCTGACTGACCAGCCACCCAACATCTTTCCTCGACTGTAATGGAAAACCTGGTTCTGGGCGCCAGCTTGAGGTGTGGTCAGGAATCCCCAATTCACGAGCGGCGCATCCCACCGCGAGTCCGGGGTGATGTAGTTGTAGTTCTGATTGTACGCTGGCACTACTGATGTGTTGCCATTCTCGATCTTGTAGTATCCGCCAGCTTCGACGGCTGCGACTGTCTTGGTGCCATCCTCTGCAAGACGGTATGCAACAGCCAATCCTCCGGTACCACCTCCTATGACAATGTAGTCGTAAGTCGCATTCTGTTCTGGGATGCCAAAGTTCTTGCCGGCTACTACTTGCTGCCGTACAAATGTTTCTGTGGACGGCGCTGCCGCAGTGGAGCTGATGCTTGCTGCGATCCATGAAGTCAATCTCATCTTGAAGGCTAGAAACAGAGTGTTGCTGCAGTCAAAGAATACGAATAGAAGTGCATATTCAAAAGGCCTTCCATGTTGATGTACGGATCGTGCTTTGCTCTGGCACGATCATCCCTACCGTTGAGGTTAGTCGGGCAATGATAACGTACTTTACAAGCGAGTCGCCCGTACAAGCGAGTCGCCCACCCCACCAACTTTGCACACCTCTCTCATCTCAACGTACAATGGCTCAACACCAACAAGCTCCACTGCGTTCAAATGAAGCTGATATACAGCTTACTATCTCATCCCTTAACAAAAGTCAAATTAAGACTGTAAGAGCAGCAGCTCAGACGTTCAGTGTCCCACGTACGATGCTACGCGACCAACGCGCTGGCCGGCCTGCCCGACACAATTGCCAGCCCAACTCAAAGAAGCTGACCCAGCTAGAAGAGGAGGCAATTGTTGGCTATATACTTGACCTAGATCAATGTGGATTTGCGCCTACGTATGCAGCTGTACGTGATATGGCTGATAGACTGCTGGCTGTGCGCGGTGCAGGTCAGGTTGGCATCCACTGGCCACACAACTTTGTCAAGCGTACAGACAGTCTCACAACACGTTTCAATTGAGCCTATGACCGGCAGAGAGCTTTGTGTGAGGATCCTGTGTTGATCAGGAGCTGGTTTGAGCTTGTAGAGCGGACAAAGGCCAGGTATGGCATCTGTGACAATGACGTCTACAACTTTGATGAGGCTGGCTTTATGATGGGCAAGATCACAACTCAGCTTGTTGTGACAGGCTCAGAGAGGAGAGGCCGGCCAAAGGCTGTCCAGCCTGGCAGTCGTAAGTGGGTGACATTGATTGCTGCAATCAATGCAGCCGGCTGGTCAGTTCCACCGTTCCTTATCTTTGCTGGCCAGTATCATCTGTCTGCCTGGTACAAGGAAGCAGAGATCCCACGCGACTGGGCAATCGCAGTTAGTGACAATGGCTGGACAAACAACAAGCTAGGAGTTGAGTGGCTGAAGCACTTCAACGCTCACGCAAAGACTTGTGTTGTAGGTGCTTGTTGCCTGCTTGTCCTTGACGGCCACGAGAGCCATCAGTCTCTTGAATTTCAAGAGCTCTGCAGAGAGAACAATATCTACACGCTCTGTATGCTGCCTCACTCATCTCACCTGCTTCAGCCTCTTGATATTGACTGCTTCTCTCCGTTGAAGCGCGCATACAGCTGTGAGATTGAGAGCCTGATCCGTCACCACATTAACCATATCACCAAGCTTGAGTTTCTGCCAGCCTTCAAGGTAGCATTTGATCGATCATTTATATCAGTCAATATCCGCTCAGCCTTTCAAGGTGCAGGCCTTGTTCCACTTCAACCAGATGCTGTTCTGTCAAAGCTTGACGTGCAGCTGCGTACACCTACTCCTCTGGCTGCTCTCACAGAGGCTCACTGGCAGGCCTGTACACCACGCAATGTACGTGAGCTTGAGGCCTAGTCAACGGTGATACATGATTGCGTACAGCAGCACAAGAGCTCATCACTGTAATGGGCTAGGCCCATTGTTAGCGCCTCGGCAACAGCACAGGCCTCGGTACCTCCGAAGCGGACGTACAATCTCCGGAGCGGGCCTGCAA